TCCATCCATTTACCTCGACCTCTTATTGCCGATGACTCCCCCAACTCATTTTTCAAAAATATATTCGTTGGGTATTCCCAAGGATATGGAAAATATCCTTGACTTCTCTCCTAATCATACCATGAGGTCGGGAAGTGGAGTCCTCGGTATTCATGTCCTCATGCTTTTTTAACTCAATGATACCACGTCCTCCTACGAACAGTGACGTGTAACACTTGATACCCCATAAGACTTCTAGATGTAAGAGGAGTTTATTGTTGTTAGACTTGTACTGATCCCACACTTGTTATGCATGTCGAACATCCACCTCCGATAGGACTCTATGGGATAAAGATTCCCCAATTGTTCAAACCTAATAGGATTCAACTACCTAACACTATAAATACATGGTTTCACCTCATCATTCAGGTACTCTTTATATACAATTTTCAGTCCATAGCCTCACGCACATATTCAAACTTAAGCATCGAAGGGGCGACGAGGACACACCTCGACGCCTTTGTTTCAGGTACCGGAAGAACACGTTCGTGCTCGCCACCAGTCGTCCAGCTCGAAATTGCTCATGTACGATTTTTGGTAGCATCATTGGCGCCGTCTGTGGGAAGTGCTACCAAAAGCCATGGTAAACACACGTTCAGGTCTTCCACCAACAAGCTCATCCGCTCCAAACCAACCCCCTCCTGAGAATATCCCTGTTCTTCAAGAGGAATCATCAGAAGCGCTAGAGCCTCAGCCGGCAGTAGTCACTGCTGGAACCTTTAAAGAGCTCAGACAACAGGTCGCCACACTGACTCAGCTGCTAAGTCAAAGAAATTCGCATCCGTCACCCACACCAATACCCCAGGGGGGTTTCATGGCCGATGCTCGAGCTCGAGCTCAGAGACATGTCCCTGATAATGGCGGAGTAGGGGCCTCGGGCATACCGCATGTGACCTCGGCCTCGAGATCAGTGACCATGGAGTCCGGAGAGCTCGCTAGGATTATTCAAGAAGGGATTACGGCAGGCCTACTTCAGGGCAACAAACGGTCAAAAAGATTTAGTCTCAACACTCCCTTTACTCTCGAAATATTGACATTCCCCTTGCCAGACAGATTTAAGTATCCTAGGATCAAAGAATATGACGAGACCACCGATCCAATCAATCATCTTAACGTATACACGGACGTCATGAATCTACAGGTTGCACCGGATCAGGTGATGTGCAAGGCCTTCCCGCAAACTTTGATGAATGCTGCTAGGGATTGGTTCTCAACTTTAGAGCCCAACTCAATAGCCTCATTCTCGGATTTAGCGGACAAGTTCTCCGCCTTCTTCACAACCAGTAAACGCATCAGGAAAATGGTAGCCTCCCTCATGCAACTTCGACAGGGACAAAATGAGACCCTACGCGAGTTCATGATCAGGTTCAACAAGGAAAGGCTGCAAATTCCCGACATTTATATAACGGCAGCGGTTTCTGCCCTCACATATGCCATAAGGTGTGAGGCTTTCAAAATGTCGCTATCCAAAACTCCGCCGAGGACAGTGACCGAGCTTCTTACCCGAGGAGAGAAGTACATAAACACGGAGGAAACACTGAACCTGAGGAAGGTTGGACCATCCCACGATAGGGTCGAGCATAAAAGACAGCATGACCCGAGCCCCCGTCAAGAACCACCTCGGAGTAAACAGAGACAGAAGGCTCCCCCAACGTCATTCACACGTTTAAACACATCGAAAACAAACATTTTGATGGAAATCAAGGATATGAAGGAGCTCAAATGGCCTGCGAGAATGAGTTCACCCCCCAGTCCAGGGACATGAGCAAATACTGTGAGTTTCATCGGGATCACGGGCATACCACTGAAAACTATAAATCCCTACAATGGGAAATTGAAGCCCTTATTAAAAGGGGACTTCTAGGTTCCTACGTTGGTAATGACAAACGCCCGAAGAATGATGGTGGTAAGGAAAGAGCCTCTGAAGCAAAAAGAGATGGTCAACCTATTGCTGGAATCATCAACATCATTGTCGAGGGTATTGCATCAGGAGGAGATTTGAACACTGGGAGGAAGCAGTATGCCTGGCAATACATGACAACCTCGAAAGCACATCATGGTGACCTCGAGGACATAACATTTGGTATGAAGGATCTTGAGGGCGTGTCTTTTCCTCATGATGACGCCCTAGTCATCTCTACAATAGTAGCAAACTTTAAGGTGAAGAGGATCTTAATCGACAATGGGAGTGCCGCTAACATATTGTCACATGAAGCCTTCACAAAAATGGGAATCTCTCCTGAACAACTGAAGACAGTAAAAACCCCCCTTTAAGGATTCGGGAGGGGGGGTATTATTGTTCCGGAGGGAGTGGTCGAGCTTCCACTTACCTTAGGCTCGGGTAAAGGACAGATAACGGTGATTACGTCTTTTCAGATTGTCCGGTCTTCCATGGCATACAACGCCATCCTGGGTAGACCATTGCTCAATAAGGTAAAAGCTATTGTGTCCACCTTCCACCTCGCCATGAAGTTCCCCACCAGTCATGGCGTCGGGGTGGTACGTGGAAACCAAGCTACTGCCAGACAATGCTATGTTACTTGTGTTCGGGAAATAAAGATAGACGTCATGCAAATCTCAGAAAAGGAGGAAGAGCTTGAGAAAAGCGGGAGACTCGCTTCAGTGGAAGAGTTGTTGGAGATAGAGCTCGAGCAAGGAAAGAAAGTAACGATTGATCGAAATTTGAATACGACCCTCATGACCGAACTTATTGACTGCTTATCCCGCAACATTGATGTCTTCGCATGGAAGGTGGAAGATATGCCTGGCATCGACCCCGAGGTTGTAGTACACAGGCTCAACACTAAGCCCAGAACTTATCCAGTTAAGCAAAGAAAGAGGCAGTTTGCACCGGAACAACGACAGGTCATAAAGGAAGAAATTAATAAACTGATCAGGGCTCAGTTCATCGGCGAGGTTAATTAGCCTGACTGGCTCGCCAATGTCGTCCTGGTAAAAAAGGCTTGTGGTAAATGGAGAGTCTGCATTGATTTTATAGACCTCAATAAAGCCTGCCCAAAAGACAGCTACCCCCTATCTCGAATCGACGATTTGGTGGATGGTACGTCGGGACACAAATTATACGGCTTTTTGGATGCATTCTCGGGTTACCATCAAATTCTTATGGCCGAGGAAGATCAAGAGAAGACGTCATTCATGGCCGATTCTACCATATACTGCTATAAGGTCATGCCGTTTGATTTGAAGAATGCAGGAGCAACATATCAAAGACTTGTCAATAAAGTTTTTACAGGAATGATCGGGAGAAATATTGAGGCCTACGTTGATGACATGGTTGTAAAGAGAAAGCAAGTGGGCAACCATGTAAGTGATCTCGAGGAGGTGTTCGCCACGATGCGTAAGTACAGAATGAAGCTGAATCCGAAAAAATGATCATTTGGCGTTGCCTCGGGAAAGTTCTTGGGTTTTATGATCACTCACAGGGGAATCGAAGCTAACCCAGACAAAATACGGGCGTTGGCATCAATGGTGCCACCTAAAACCAAGAAGGAGGTCCAGAAATTAACAGGTCGTGTTACAGCCCTCAACAAGTTTATGTCCCGAGCAGCCGACAAATGGTTTCCCTTCTTCAAAGTCCTCAGGGAAAATCGAAATTTTGAATGGGATGAGGAATATGAAAGGGCTTTTCATGAACTTAAGAAAATGCTGGCATCTCCTCCTATCCTCACTAAACACGAGCATGGTGATACTCTGTATTTATACTTGGCCGTATCCCAGAATGCAGTAAGCGGTGTGCTAGTGAAAAGTGTTAACAAAGCCCAGCAACCCATATACTACGTCAGTAAGGTCTTGCTCGATGCAAAGACAAGATATACTTTAGCAGAACAACTTGCTCTTGCATTGGTTGTGGTAGCACAGTAGCTCAGACAATATTTTCAGTCTCACCCCATAGTTGTGCTCACTAATCAACCCCTTAAGCATATATTATAAAAATTCGACGTTTTCGGTAGGTTACTAAAGTGGGCAATTGAACTGGGAGAATTTGACATCGAGAATAAATCCCGACCATCTATCAAGGCACAGGCCTTGGCTGACTTTATTGCAGAACTCACCCCAAGGCCTCGGGGGCCAGGGGATAACTCGGACAATCGTATTTCAGACACTTGGAACATCTTTGTTGATGGAGCATCCAATTCGTCAAGTTTCGGAGCCGGGGTCATCATCACGAGCCCTGATAAACTCGTGGATATTCAATGCGCACTCAGGTTTGAGTTTGAAGCTACCAACAACGAGGCCGAACATGAGGCCATCATTATCGCCCTTGAGCTCGAGCATATTAAAATTTTCAGCGATTCTCAGCTTGTGGTCGGCCAGATAGAAGGTACGTTCGAAAGGAAGGAAGAGAAGATGAGTTTGTATTGTCTAAAAGTCCATGATCTCCAGCGACAATTCAAGAGTTGCGAAATCATAAACATTTCGCGGGCTGATAACGGTAAAGCTGATGCATTATCTAGACTGGTATTCATGGGAATTGATGGGCTAGAGAGGACAGTCCATGTGAAATTGGTAATGGAGCCTAGTATCACTCATGGAGTTGGAGTCATGGACATTGATCATGAGCCATCATGGATAGACCCAATTGTAGAGTTCATAAATAATGGAAATCTACCTGAGGACCCCAGATTGTCGAGGAGTATAAAATCTCGAGCATCTAGGTACTGCATGATTGGAGGAGTACTATTTCGAAGAAGTTTCACACTTCCATATCTCAGACGCCTTAAACCCTCAGAATCATCCCGAGCTCTAGCTGAAGTTCATGAAGGTGTATGTGGGAATCACCAAGGAGCTCGGGCCTTGGCCTTCAAGCTTATAAGGTATGGGTACTACTAGCCCACCATGAAGAAAGACGCCTCGGAATATGTCAGAAAATGCGACAAATGCCAGAGGTTTGCCAACGTCATCCATTCTGTAGCTGAGGACCTCACAACCTTAACATGTTCGGCCCCTTTTGAACAGTGGGGAATTGATATCCTCGGGCCTTTTCCGGTGGCAAGAGGACAATTAAAATTCGTGGCAGTGGCAGTAGAATACTTCACGAAGTGGGCAGAAGCAGAACCTTTGGCAACAATTTCGGAGCTTAAACTTAGAGCTTTTGTATGGAAATCTATTGTTTGTAGGTTCGGGATACCAAAGGTCCTCATAACTGATAATGGACGACAATTTGATAATGCACAATTCAGAAGTTTTTGCACCAACCTAGGGATTGACCATCGACTCACATCAGTTTCGCACCCTTAGAGCAATGGTCTAGCCGATGTCACAAATCGGATTATATTGCAAGACCTCCGGACAAGACTCGGGGATGCCAAAGGCTCTTGGTCCGACAAGCTCCCCTCATTACTCTGGACGTGCAGAACTTTACATAAAACTATGACGGGTGAAACCCCCTTCATGCTAGCATTTGGCATTGAGGCCACCATCCCAGTTGAAATCCGTTTTCCCAGCCTAGGGAGAATGATGCCCGACTCTCTAGAACGTACGACAGAACATTTGGACCTCCTTGAGGAGGTTCGCGAACAAGCAGCACTAAGAGTAGCCTCTTACCAAAGCAGAGTGGCAAGGCATTTTAATAACCGGGTTAGATCTCGGAAGTTCAGGGTTGGAGACCTCGTGCTAAGGAAGGCCAAAGCTGCTGGTCATGCTCCCGGAAAGCTCGGGCCAATTTGGGAAGGACCATTCGAAGTCATATGACAAATCAGAAGAGGGTTTTACAGCCTAACCTCGTGCTAAGGAAGGCCAAAGCTGCTTGTCATGCTCCCGAAAAGCTCGGGCCAATTTGGGAAGGACCATTCGAAGTCATATGACAAATCAGAAGAGGGTTTTACAGCCTAAAGGATACCTCGGGTAGACCTCTTCCAAGGCCTTGGAATGCCGATAATCTAAAAATATATTACAAGTAACATTCCCGACGTCATATAGGAGATTTTCTTTTTTAGTTCTTCTGAATATTATTTTTAGTTCTTCGGGCCTGCGTGCCCTTGCATTTTATTTCTAGTTTGGTGGGCCTGCGTGCCCATGCATGTTTTCAATTCTCTTTTGTAATGAACTACGTTCGGCTTGATCCCGTTTGGGTACGTAGGCAGCTTGGATGCAATATAAATCCAAGTCCAGTCTGAAGAATTAAAAAATTCAAGCCTCGGGAATAACAACCCTGTCGTTTACTTTGCATTCAGGAATTATCCAAGCCTTGTCCTCGACAAGCAATATAAGCCTTGCCCTCGAGCAAGCATTCCAAGTCTTGTCCTCGACAAGCAATTTAAGCCTTGCCCTTGAGCAAGCACTATAAGCCTTGCCCTCAAGCAAGCACTCGAAGCCTTGTCCTCAACAAGCAATATAAGCCTTGCCCTCGAGCAAGCACTAAGCCTTGTCCTCTACAAGCACTCCAAGCCTTGTCCTCGACAAGCAATATAAGCCTTGCCCTCGAGCAAGCATTCCAAGCCTTATCCTTGACAAGCAATATAAACCTTACCCTCGAGCAAGCACTCGAAGCCTTGTCCTCGACAAGCAATAAAAGCCTTGCCCTCGAGCAAACAATATAAGCCTTGCCCTCGAGCAAGCACTTGAAGCCTTGTCCTGGACAAGCAATATAAGCCTTGCCCTCGAGCAAGCACTAAGCCTTGTCCTCGATGAGCACTCCAAGCCTTGTCCTCGACGAGCACTCCAAGCCTTGTCCTCGATAAGCAATATAAGCCTTGCCCTCGAGCAAGCACTCGAAGCCTAGTCCTCGACAAGCAATATAAGCCTTGCCCTCGAGCAAGCACTAAGTCTTGTCCTCGACGAGCATTCGAAGCCTTGTCCTTGACAAGAAATATAAGCCTTGCCCTCGAGCAAGCACTCTAAGCCTTGTCCTCGACAAGCAATATAAGCCTTGCCCTCGAGCAAGCACTCTAAGACTTGTCCTCGACAAGCAATATAAACCTTGCCCTTGACAAGTAAAAGCATTGCCTTTAGGCAAGGTGAATGATCCTCGATACAATAAAAATTGGAAAAACACGAGGATTACATTGAGTTTCCTCAAAATTTATCGTCGTTACCAAGATTAATTGCATGCCATTGATATTAATATTCGAAAGGCATAATCGTCGATAATAAAAGGCGTAAACATCTAATATTTGAATCGTCGATCATAAATAATATAAGATCGTCGTTATAAGATCATCGAGCATAAATAATTGAGAAGCAGCAAAGATCAGCTCAGGTTAAATGATCAGGCCAAATAATATCGAACATGCAGATTGTATTAATAGTGCTCGATAAAAAGTGATTACAAACAAAAAAACTGTCGAATTTAGCTGGCGACCAAAAACATTTTACAAATGTTGCTCAAGTAAAGATAAACTAATCTAGACCCCGGGGCTCTCCTGATCATCCTCGAGGTCATCATCAAGGTCGACCCCTTCGTCGTCGAGGGTACCCTCTCCTGACTCCAAAAGCTCGAGGTCTCCAGCAATCTCTGAGATTGCCTTTAGCTCCTCGGGCTTAGCATCAGGCTTTGACCGAAGAAATGCTCGAGCCTCCTTAAGGCCATGGAAATATGAGCCCATTGCATAGTCGCCTTTTAGCTTGTTGAAGTCCTCGGACTTCTGGAATTCCTCAACAGCTTCAGCTCGAGCTTTAGCCACCCTGACCTCGAGGGTTTTCTTTACCTTCTCGAGCTCTATCTTCAATTCTTCTGCCTCGTCTTTCACGAGGCCTATTTCATCACGAGCCTATTGAAGCTCGGTCTTCACAAGATCGCACTCAGCCTCGAGGTCAGTTACTCTCATATCTCGAGCTTCCACTGCCTTCTGGAGCTCGATCACCTTCTGGGAATCGTCCATTCCCCTGAGCAAGCCACCTCTAGCTATACTCAAAGCCTACAAACACATTTACCATGAGCTATGACCTCGATATAAAAAGACTATAAAATTTTATAATCATAGTTTACCTGGAATATAAGTGACTCGAGGTCCTTGCCGACCTCTTCATACCCGAGCCTTTGTCGGTATTTGTCGACAAGGCCCGACATCAAGTATGATTGTCCAGTATTCTCAATGTTTTCAGTACCCGGGGGCACGTTATCCTCGTCGAGATCCATTACCGTGTGCTTCCGAGGAGGCAGAAGAGGTCGAGATGGAATAGATTGAGGAGTGTTGCCTCTAGCCGATGTGCTTCTGCGCCTTGAGGACTCTCCTACCCCACTTCTTTTTTGTTGCTCTGGCCCAGATGCTCGAGGCCTGTTTTTTCCCCTTTTCTACTCGGGAGTTCGAATTTGAGGAGCCCTCGACTTAGACTGCACAGACTGTCACAAAGCAGTTGGATCGAAAGTCATTACTGCAAAACATCGACGATGTATTAGAAACGAGCATATAAATAAGCAAAAAATAAGAAAAAGGTACATGTCCTACCCTCGACGCCTTTAATGTCTACACGATTGAGAACGTCATCCCCGAGGATGTCGTCCATATCAAACACCAGAGGCTCGAGATTTTCTAACATCTGCCTGTGCCTCTCTAGACTCTCAAAGTATGCCTGACCCTCACAAAACCTCGACGTATCTGGAAATCCCCATCGAGACTTGAATGGAAGGTCGATATCCTGAGGAATCACGTAGAACCATTTCTCCTTCCACCCTTTTAAGGAGCTGGGCATCTTTGGGATTCTAAAACCTCCCCGGGTAGAAAGGTAGGCAAAGCATGTATACTGGGGCAACTGTTTAAGGTCGAAGACCATTCTACATAGGTCGAGATATGGTGTAATGCCCAGGTATCTACAGGCGATGAAGAAATAGGTGAGCATCCTTCACCCATTTGGCACTAATTGCCTTGGGCTCATGTTATACTCGACCAATAAAGACATAAAAAATGGATGCAGGGGCCACCTAAATCCCCCTTTCAAAAAATCCCTGAAAATCACAAACTCCCCATCCCGAGCTATAGCCATCCTATCCCCTACCCCGGGCACTCAAATGTCACAGCTCGGCATTATGCCATGTTCTCTAGTCGTCGATATGGCCAGGTGCTCCTTAAGGGTACAGGGTTGGTCAGGATATGTTAAAAGCGTCGAGTTATCTTCTGCTCGAGGTTGTGCATAAATAGGGATGGCTACAGGGATTATCGACCTACCTAAACTCTCTGGGGTTGTCCTCGACCCAGAGGATGACGACGAAGTAGACTCACTAGACATCCTAACAGAAGTGTTCTTAAATAATAAAGCTTAAAGTTCTCGATCTCTTACCTTAATATCGACGACCCAAAACCCACAAAATGCCCAAGCTCGAGGGTTCTGAAAAAATTCACTGAGAAGTAAAATGGTAAGAAATGGAAAGTGACTGGGGTATTTATAAACTCCAGTGGGAAACCCAAGGGTCGTCCAGCTTGGACCGTTGGATCTAGACACGTGTCACTCATCGGGGCAACCAAAGTTAATCCGCCTTTCACTTTAGCGCTGATGTCATCTCTAAACTGGACCTCGGGTTTCTTTGCACGTGGGCTTTTTTCTACTTGTGCATCCCACACTCGAACCTCGAGCATGGATGCACGGGGGCCAGTGATATGGTCCATCTATTTACCTGATATGGTCCATCCATTTACCTCGACCTCTTATTGCCGATGACTCCCCCAACTCATTTTTCAAAAATATATTCGTCGGGTATTCCTGAGGATATGGAAAATATCCTTGACTTCTCTCCTAATCATACCATGAGGTTGGGAAGTGGAGTCCTCGGTATTTATGTCCTCATGCTTTTTTACCTCAATGATACCACGTCCTCTTACGAACAGTGACGTGTAACACTTGATACCCCACAAGACTTCTAGATGTAAGAGGACGTTATTGTTGTTAGACTTGTA